TGTCTGTAAATAACCCCTTTGTCTGAGGAATCCTTGACATGGAAGGCCAGGCAGAGGCCAAACAATTCACAGGCTTGCCGTCCTTCTGCCCAAAGCTTCTGGGGCAACAAGGGCCCTGCAAGCATGGCTTTGTGCAAGCCAAGGACAGCAGGAACCCCATGAGCACGAACAGAAAGTCAGCTGGCCCCACACACATTTTCCACACCACTGCTGTGGCTGCCACAAATACATCTTCCCTAGAAGAGGAAGTGTTAAGTTTGAGCCCTGAGGAATCACTTTATTAGTTTCCCCTCTTAGGCTTGCAGGAAGTGGAAGGCCATACAATGGTGTGGACGGAGCTGGAATTAGGAACATGCTGTAGGAAGTGCCTTATTGGGTGAGCCAGGTGGGCAAGGAGGCCTGTCTTATTTTGACCAGTATTAAATGCTTCTGAGGAAGGTGCAAGGAACACTGCAGTGGCCACTTCAGCAGTAACTTCTCTGTAGGGAAAAAGAAAAGGAGTACTTGTGGCACCTTAGAGACTAACCAATTTATTTGAGCATGAGCTTTCGTGAGCTACAGCTCACTTCATCGGATGCATCTGTAGCTCACGAAAGCTTATGCTCAAATAAATTGGTTAGTCTCTAAGGTGCCACAAGTACTCCTTTTCTTTTTGCGAATACAGACTAACAGGGCTGTTACTCTGAAACCTGTTCTCTGTAGGGAAGTTTCTTCCTGACACCAGCAATTTGGAGTTGGCTTGTACATTGAAGCTGGCAGATTTATAGCCCTTACGAGTGGTTATCTGAGTAACGGTGGATGTTTTTCTTATTGACCTTGTAAATGTCGAAACCCGTTCTGAAATGAAATCTATCATCAGGGAACACCACTAGAGCTGTACAAGGCTAATGTTCTGAGTCAACATAAAGGCAAGAGGAGAGAAACTACAACAATACAGGCTGGGAAGAAGACTGCTGCCTGTTGTGACTCCAGAGAACTGAGCCACTCCAGCTGCCTGCTGCATCCTCTGCCAGCTGGGCTACCCCGATGTCTCTTCTGAAATGGGCTGCAGTGTAAACAGGAAGCAGAGCTCTGACAGCAGGCATGCTGCAGACGGCTGCAAACCCTGCAGGGGGCCAATCACCAGTCTGGTGGAGGGAAGGAGGGTGACCTAGCATGCTGCCAAGGGTCAGACCTGACCTTTAGCCTACCCGTCAGCACTCAGCTCCTGGGGTGTCATTCTGAAGGACACGTAGATACAACATCCAGTGCCACCAAGATACCTTGGTGACAGGTGCCTTAGAAACATTCAAGATGGAGAGAATGTGGTGGTTCAGCAACTGAGAGCAGGATGCTCACAGCAAGGAGCTTAAGGCCCCACCAGCTCCAGTCAGTCTTTATAGCATGGTCCCAGCATTACCCACCCTGGAGAGCAGAGTCCATCCCACCCGTTTGTGCTTTTTGCCATGTATTCCCAAAGCTCCAGCAGCCACTTCTGCACACAGAAGAGCTATTCATTGTATTCTCTGCAGTCCTACACTCAAAGTGGACCAAAACCCAAATCCCCCTGCATCCTCAGGCAGAGCAAGTTTCAAAGAGTCACTAATGCTCACAGAAGCCTCCTTCCACCACTCCTGCAATTCTAGGTGACTTTTTTGTTCCGCGTGATTCCTAAACAAGAAAAAGTTAAACCAAAGTCAGCAGCTAGGACTATCAGGAGCTCTGTGGAAGCAACCAGCCAGCGTGAGCAAGGAGCAGGCAACCATGTGGTACCCATCCCAAAGTGGAGGAAATTGCACAGAGGAAGAACAGGATGGCAGAAATGGCAACTCCCTCTTTCCTGCCATGTGCCTGCTGGACTGGTCCACCAAGAAGCTATATTGTCCCTTGATAAAGCAAGTCATGAAAGGGCTGTGAGTTCAACACATAACTTAGCTTTTCATGTAGAAGGCAGGTTTTCAACATTAAAGACTCCTCATGCAGTAGTCAATCAAATGCTTTTCCCAAAATGAACAGATGGGGGTAGTTGAATTTTTTTTTTTTAATTTAGCAGCTTTGGCTTACTGTTTTAAAAGCAGGTTTCAGAGGAGCAGCCGTGTTAGTCTGTATTAGCAAAAAGAAAAGGAGTACTTGTGGCACCTTAGAGACTAACCAATTTAAAAATTTAAAAGCATTAAAATGATAAACAGAGCAAATAAAAACCTAAACAACCAGACCTCAGTCTAGAGGCCTACAAGTCAGAGATGGGAAAACATCACGTCACATCTAGTCCAGCCTCGGGTCGGGACAGGCCCTGTTCCTCACAACCTGCTGTCTGCTGCTTTGTCCAGGCTGGTTTTAAAGTGTCTCTGGTAATGGGATTTCTGCCACTGCCCTTGGAAGAGGGATCGTAACATGTGTAAGTTCAAATGGGTGACAAACTCAAGTCAAAAGCATTCCCTGAAGAGCTAAGAATACAGCAGTAGGTGAGGTTAAGTGGTTTTTAATAAAAACGTTTTAAATAGATACTGATCTGTTGCTTAAAGCAGCAAACTCTCTGTTGTCTTTGTTTAAAAGAAACAGCAAGGTGAATTTTAGAAAACCAAATAACTGAGGGCTGAAAATAACCAGTCATAGGAAGGCCAAAGCCTCTTGATTTCACTGTGCCATCCGGATGTGTGCAAAACGCCCCCCCCCCCCCCCCCACTACTAACACCTTCTCAGAGCAGCTCAGTGCAAGCATTTGATTTAGGTTTCACTTCTGTGTCTGTTGCTCGGCTTCAGGACTCCTGCATTAAGGATGAAGCTTAAGGCTCAGGACTTCAACCATCACAATTGCACTAGAGCAAGCACAGGTACTCCTGGGAGAAATCGTGGCTGGATACTTCCCTTTCTCACATTCCTTTCAGAAAATGCCACAAAGCTTATTGGACATTCCAAACAATAAATCCAGATTTCCAGTGGAATCATCTTCCTTTTATTACAAAATTAAAGCATAATGATCCCCCTGACCCTTAATTCCCACTTTCTCTTTAAGAAAATTACACTGAGAACTCACCTTAAAAAGATTTTCCTTTCCAATCTTTCCCTACAAGGGCTGGGCAGTGCCAAAGTCACAATTCATAAAAAGTGAATAATTAACTGAGAATTTACCCTGGAGTAGAAACACAGATTGTAAAGAAAGAATTAGGCATTTGGGGCCAATTCATCCCTGGTTACATTTCCCTGAGTTCATTCAAACTCCAAGGAAGGAGAATGTCAGAGGTAGTCACTGGTTTTGCAAAAATGTGAAAGAATAAAAATCAAAACTTTAAAATCAAGTGAAAGTCCTTTGAAAAAGCAAACTCAGAGTCAGTTGCATTAGAAATGTGCCTAACAGGAAATAAACATACACTCTCTTCTCCAGTGTCGATGCGCATGAAAATCAGCAACTGTTAAAATTACCCACTGAGCTCTCTTGTGAAATATGCTGCAAACACAGAGCTTGAAGTTTTTAAGTAGACACTTACTAACAAGAAGCTATATGAAAACACAGGGAAGAGGCGAGCACCATCAATGTTCACTGGCTACTTGCTGGGGAGAGTAAATCCACCAGCAAAGTTCCCTTTACCAACTGCTGGGAAAGAAAAGGGTGCAAAGATCCCCACCAAGGTGCTTTCATATTACGGTTTGGCTATTATGTATTTGATACATTTGAAGCCAAGTCCCCATCTTTCCCTGCTCACTTCTGGTGCTGGTAGTTGAGAAGAGGTGCTCTGACATTCTGCCTCTGGTTTTTGTGATCCGCCTCCCCAGTGCCTCAGCTGCTTCCCCAAGTTAAATTGCCACAAATTCTTGTCAAGTTCACTGTTGACCACAGTTCTAAAGAGCAGCAGAGAACCTGTCTAAAGGCTTGTTAATTTCCCTCAAAGCTCAGTCAAAGGTAGCAGCAGCTGAGGCACTGTAGTGTCTGTAGACTCAGGAAGGCAACACTGACTCTGGTCACATTTACAGAGTTTTCTTCACCACTAGAAGGGCAAGGAACTTCTTTAATTCAATAAAATCTTAGATTCTGCAGAAGCTGATGGCTTAGCCCCCCTCGCCCCACTCATATATTGGGCAGGTAAAGTTTCCTACTTTCAACTGGGGAATATATTTTTCGAAGTCCTACCATCATTGACATGAAATTTGAACTACACGAGGCAAAGGCTAAAAGGATAGACTCTGAACAAAGAAAAAATACCCATCCCTGTTCCCAGCATCCCAAAACAAAGAGGCAGCCCACAGCCAGGACTCAGGATTTCTGTAAATCAGAAAGGACTCAGACCAGCCTCATTGGGAAGGCAGGCATACCGTACCGAGATACGGTTCACATTTGTGTTGCCCACGCCCCAGCCTACAGAGCAGGAAGGAGGGCACCAGCCCACCAGCCCCCGGCTCCTGCCCCGTGCCCAAGGATCTGGCAAGGAAGCGACTGTCTGTCCGCAGTGAGTTGATGGCGTGCGCCGCACTAGACAACACACAAAGGAGGCTCAGACTCTGCCCCGGGGCGCTCCAGGAGGGTGGCGTGGAGATGCAGAAGAGGGGCTGGAGTTTTCCAGGCGTCGCCCCTGCCCCGGTGCAAGGGGGGTCCCGGTCTGCCCGCGCCAGGACTGGAATACCCGAGTCTCAACCCGCGGCGGCGCGGTGCCTGCCCCGGGGTGCCGAGCCGGCAGGGGCTGCCCGAGGATGCAGCAGCCCCGTCGGGCCGGGGGCACCGGGCAGGGCAGGGCAGGGCTGCCCCGAACCCACGCCCAGAGAGCGGGTCGGGGCGGCCGGGGCCGGGACTGCAGGGGGGCAGCTGGATCCCGTGGGGTGCCCGAGCCCGGGGACACCGCTCGCCCGCCAGGTCCCCAGGCGGGGACAAGGGGTGGGGAAGGCGACCCCCGGGGACCCCCACCCCCCCCGGGGAGCCCCCCATCGCCAGGAGCGCCCCATCCCCAGGAGCGCCCCCACGGGAACCCCCCCCGCTCAAGGGGCGCTCCTCGCACCTCCGGGGAGCCCCAGCCGCCCCCCGTGCCCACCTGGTCCGCACGCTCCGGGCCGAGCCGGGCTCGCTGGCTGCTCCTCGCCGCCGCGGCGCTGCACGGGCTCAGGCAGCGGAAGCGGCCGCCCCGTCCCCGCCGGGGGAAGCCGGAGCCCGGCCCCCGGCCCCGGCCCCGCCCGCTGGGCGGGTGCAGGACATTGGGAGGGAGGGTACTGGGGGAACGGGCGGGAGGAGGCAGGGCACTGGGGGGTACTGGGGAGGGCACTGGGGGAAGGGTGGGGGGAGGGAGGCAGGACATTGGGAGGGAGGGTACTGGGGGAACGGGGGGGGAGGAGGCAGGGCACTGGGGGGTACTGGAGGAACGGGGGAGGGCACTGGGGGGAAGGGTGGGGGGAGGGAGGGTACTGGGGGAACGAGGCAGGGCACGGGGGGAAGGAGGCAGGACATTGGGGGGAGGGCACTGGGGGAATGGGGGAGGGCACTGGGGGGGAGGAGGCAGGGCACTGGGGGAAGGGTGGGGGGCACTGGGGGGAAGGGTGGGGGGAGGGAGGGTACTGGGCGGGAGGAGGCAGGGCACTGGGGGGGAGGGAGGGTACTGGGGAACGGGGGAGGGCACGGGGGGAAGGAGGCAGGACATTGGGGGGAGGGCACTGGGGGAATGGGGCAGGGCACTGGGGGGAAGGGCGGGGGGAGGCAGGGCATTAGAGAGAAGGGCCGGAGCGGGGATGCTGGGGGTGCAAAGGCCCTGGGGGAAGGGCATTAATTTGCACAAGTACGTGCCTAACCCTAGAGACTCCCTCCTGAAATCCTGTGATTGGTCTCTGCAAACCAGGGCTTTGGGCGCCCACTGGCAGTCAGGAGGAAGGCCACTGAAGAGCTGCCAACAGGACGGGCGCTGCGGTGCCCAGCCTAGCCCTGACCCAAATCTTCTTGACTCTCTCACAGCTTGCCTCCCCTTCAGCATGAGGCCAGCAGACAGGCCTTGGTGGTGCAGAGGACTGGGGATGAAGAGCATCTCTTGTCACCTCTAGGCCCTGGGTTTGAATCTGCCCAAGGTCAGGAGGGAGTGAAGGTTGTTACCCTCTGATTGTGCTCAGTCTGTTCCTCCGCTTAGTAAATTGATGTTTCCGTCTCAGCCCATTCCTAGTGTATGGGTATCCACCTTACCAGCAGAATGCCCCTGCAATGAGAAGTCACACTAGTGATACTGAATGGGCCAGTCAGCCTCTAATTTCTTGAGGGGGCCCTTCTAAGCAGAGTTTAGATACAATCCCTCAGATTCCATTACAATGGTTGACAATGTAAAAGGCTAGAGATAGATAGACTGGCAGAGAGCAATGTGTGTGGGAAGCTTGCCCTGCCATTGCCTGTGAAGCACTCAAAACTGCGACCTTTTGATTTCATAGTGTCCCCCACATCTATGGTTTATGTGTAGTGCTAATAATGTTGTGTTCCTTCACAGCCTTTTATGATGTTCCCCTAAAGTAGTCCCTGCTCCAAGCCAAGTAGATAGGCTTACCACACTGCATAAATAGCCCTGAGTGAGGGACAGCAGAGGCTCAGTTTGCATTATTTGCAAAGCATGGACATAAACAGTTATGAAAATATTCCAACTATCTTCCAAAGAAATTCAGTTCAGCAGAAGGCCAAAACCAGCTCTCCCTAAAATCCTAGGAGGAATTCAGGTTACATTAGGGTCCTTCAAACTCCCTTAATGATGAGTTCATTTATTCTCAATCTTTTTAAATCCAGTTTTTGTCATTATACTTTTTCTCCAACATGCCTTACAAAGCATGTCAATGTCATTTACAGCTATAGAAAAGCATGTACTAGTGTACCTGCTGCAGAGCAGGACTCTCCTCCTAAGGGTCAGGGAATGGACAAGATCTCCGTTTATCCTTTAAGTTCCGTTTGGACATACGGGCAGTGATTAAGGAGCCAAACTACCACAGTGGGCCTGTAGAATCAGTTCAAGTTTTTGGTTTAAATAAGAAGAAAGTTCAACCCAGAGTTGTGTAAAGGAGGAGGACAGATATAAAAATTGTAGATGAACCAAGGAATTAATTTAATTCAGTTCAGTTTAATTAAACTTTATTGGCAGGAAAATATGTATTGAAGAGCTCTGTGTCGCTTGAAAGTTTGTTTCTTTCACCAACAGAAGTTGGTCCAATAAAAGATATTACCTCACCCAGCTTGTCTCTCTAATTTCCTGGGACCAACATGGCGATAACAAGCCTGCAAACAACATATAATAAGGCTTCACAGTAGCCATAGTCTTCAGTCAGAGCTGCTCTTACCACTGTTCTTTCTCTGAGGTCACCAGAGAGACGTACTAGCTGCTGTACTTTGGGAAAGTCCTGGCAGCAGCCAGTGGCTGCTGGAAAGGGAATGAGCCTTGTGAAACTGCTCAAATAAATTGGTTAGTCTCTAAGGTGCCACAAGTACTCCTTTTCTTTTTGCGAATACAGACTAACACGGCTGTTCATCTGAAACCTGTCATTAAGGTGCCACAAGTACTCCTTTTCTTTTTCCTGCATTGAATCCTTTCTCTTAAAGGTAGTTTGAAAATGTCTGCACCAACCTCCTCCATCTCTTGCCCTGGAGCACCACCTCCTGGGAGCTGTTGTGCTCATCAAGCCAGGAATCACAGTGTTCTCTTGCTCTGCAACCCTGGATTTTGTAGGGAGTGCCACAGCAGAAAATGAGAATTTTCGCAAATCATTTAAACATATTAAATACAAGAAGTGTCTGAGCACTTGCTTTCTCCTTGGTTCCTCCCTTTATTATGGACAAAGGTGCAGTTCCTCAGTTATCTTTGTTTCTCTTTGTTTTGCTGAATTGCTGTTTGCGTTGGGTGCCTTTTATTGTTTCATCATTTGCTTTACTTTACAGTGAACAGGAGCATCTGAGAACAAATAGGACAGAATATCTGATAGACCTGGATGGACTGTGTGATTTTGCTTTGGAAGGATCATTCATCTGCCTATTATTTCTTGCCCTTAGCAGACCACATAGCCAGTCAGTTCACAAAGACCCACAGCTCCTACAACAGAGTCTTCTTTTGCTGCTAACTGAACTGTAAAATTCTAATTAAATTAGATACAATTTAAAAAACCTAATTTTTTCACTTTTTTCTAAATTAATTAGGTCTCTCACGTATTAGTTTATGTTTCAAGAGTTTTGTCTAGTACCCATTTTGGACATTTAAAGGCAGATGAAATAAATAATTTGTGCATTTTGTTCATCTCAAACATGACACAAACCAGGACATTATCCACAGGCCAGGCTGCAGAGGTAAATTTTGCTTGAGTTTGGGATTTTTCTTCTCTTTTTAAAACATAAATGGACAGATCGTCAGCTGCTGTGAACTGACATAGCTCCATTGACTTAAATAAAGCTACTGTGATTTACATCAGCGGAAGATGTGGCCACAAAAGCATTGTAATGTTAGGGGCTTACCAGCCACTTTTGCCCCCTCATCTTCTATTCATTGGGGCCTGTCCTAGCTAGCCAATAGAGCTGGGATCCCTGCCCAAAATCCAGACCAGTCTGAAGCAGATTCCTGCTGGCAGGAAATCTCTCACACGGAACTTCAAAAGAACAAAACGTACCATAAAATTTCTAAAATCTAAAAGGGTCTTATAAGATAAAAGTAAAATCTTTAAATGGACTTAAATTCTCAGTAGTTAGAGATGAAGAGACCTATTAAATCCTTGAGTCTGTGTTTTGCAAAGGCATGGTAGAATCCTCTGAGAAAGGACATATCAGATATTAAGCTGATATTATAGTCAGTGAGGTGCTTAGGAAGTGTAGAAACCTTCAAATGTGAATAGTGGAGTTAAGTAAATCAAACCAGGAATCCGTCTAGCAGTGCCATTTTGTGCTAAATGAAGATTTAGATATAAAGAATAGAAAACAACTTTATTGTGGTTCCATGAGGAGAAGAGGGAACCCCACAGATGAATTTCAAGAAAGGAATGTTGCAGAAAGGCCAATGAATTATAAGAAGAAATGGAATGCAGCAAGCAAGTCATATATGACACCCACCCACTCCCAGGTCAGCACTCAGATTGGAATTTTTCATTAAGACCAGAGGATTAACAGATTCACACAATTCTAGCTGGATGCCGTCTCTAAAATTAAGGTATCTTTTTGGTGCATCTGTGAAACAAACCTCCAATTTGTGTGTGGTTTGTGCACTGCTGGTTTTCAATTTCTCCTCACAGCATGAGTAAAGATAACATTGTAAAAGTGGATGGATTGTACCAAGGAAGGAAAATCTTTGCCACATTTCACTTTTTTCTAGTACATGTCTAATTTTGGTATATAGGATACACTGGGAACATGACGTACAATAGATCGATCATGCAGCCAAATTGTCTGGAACTAGAATACTGGAGGCAAATAGCCATTTCAAGAGAGGTGTCCATTGCACAGCTCAAAGTTTATGGTTTAGTTCAGTTTGGATTATAGCCTCCCGTTTTCTCTTTTGTCAGAATCTTCTGTCTGCCAGTTGAGTCACTAGGAGCTGTACTGAGTAGATCTCAGCTTTAAGTCACTCTCTGCAGATGCTACACCCAGGGTCACTCCTTCCTTGGTGACTCACTCTTTGTTTAGACTAGCGAGGTCACTTGGATCATAGTAAAGGTTTGTTTTTCCATCATTAAGTCATTGAATAGATCTTTCCTCAGTGTGCTAAAAGTCTGTTGTAATTTTGAAGGGAACTACAGCTCAAGTTAAGGTTAAGTGGTAATTTGGGGATTCTGCTCCATCTGGGTACTTATCTGGACTTCATCACCTGAAGTATCTGAGCACCTCACTATCATTAATGGGTTTTATCATCATAATGGCCTTGTGAGGTAGGGAAGTACTATCCACATTTCACAGATAGGGACCTGAGGCGCAGGATATAGAAAGTGATTCACATGGTCACCAACTGCACAGATTTCTTACATTTCATTATACAATGTATTTGTTAAATGCTATCTTCCCCACCCTGTTCAAGACAGAAAAATAAAGACAATCCCTGCCCAAGAAGCTTATAGCCTTAAAGTCAAATCTAAACTATTTGGTGCACAGTCTAGCCAAAATGATTGTACTTGTGTCTGAGCTCAGATTGCCAACCAGAAGACCAAATAGTGCCAATTGTGATGATGAGGAGGACTTGTGGCAC